GCTCCGCTGCTGGCGGCCCGGGTTCGGATCCCGGGCGCGCACCGACGCACCGCTTCTCCGGCCATGCTGAGGCCGCGTCCCACACACGGCAACTGGAGGGATGTACAGCTATGACATGCAACTATCTACTGGGGCTTTGGGGGGAAAATAAATAAATAAATAAAATCTCAAAAAAAAAAAAATAAAATAAAGCACATCGGTTACGGCTATCAAAGAGCCTCAGAAGGTGCTTTGAGCTATTGATTCTACTTCTTTAAATTTTTCTGAAAAAATGATAGAGGATATATGCACTGCAGTGTTTTACAAGAGTGAAAAATATGGGGCTGGCAAGGTGGCATAGTGGTTAAGTTCGCGTGCTCCACTTCGGCAGCTCGGGGTTTGCAGGTTTGGATCCCGGGTGTGGACCTACACACTGCTCGTCAGCCATGCTGTGGCAGGGGACCCACATACAGAGTAGAGGAAGATCAGCAACAGACGTTAGCTCAGAGCAAATCTTCCTCAGCAAAAGAAAAAGAAAAAGAAACTAAGGACCTGTTGATAGTTAGGATTATGTATTATCAAGGACTTATAATGAAAAGGCCAAACCAAACCTTTTCCAAAAGGAAAATGGGTCCAGAGTGGTAATCAACCACTGAAAGCCAAAAGAGACTAATGACTTAGGAAGGAACACATACAACCACATCATGTTCAAGATAAATTTGCAGTTCTATTAGATCAATATGTAATAAGATTAAAAGTCTCATTTATTTATGAGTCCTCTTTCTACTTCTGGAAACACTAATTGAGGAAAAGACTAGAAAACAAGAAACTAAGGAAGTTTCTTATCCAAAAATTTGAAGTCCCACGTAATTACTCATAGATTAATCTGAGCCTCTACTCCCAGAGACAGAATCAGAATCCACCATACTCTCCATCTCAGGGGCCAAAAAGGGTTCCTCTCAATGGGAATGGGTCACTATTTCTAGCACGCCTGGGAATCTCACCCCTGTCCAAACTGCAAATCCTAAACTGGTGGAATCTGTCTTTGACAGCAGTTTTGGACTTTCACAAGACCATGAGTCAAGAATAGTTACAATGAGGGGGCCGGCCCAGTGGTGCAAGCGGTTAAGTGCGCGCCCCCCGCTGCAGCAGCCCAGGGTTCGCCGGTTCGGATCCCGGGCATGCACCGACGCACCACCTGGCAAACCATGCTGTGGCAGCGTCCCATATAAAGTAGATGAAGATGGGCATGCATGTTGGCCCAGGGCCAGTCTTCCTCAGCAAAAAAAAGGAGGACTGGCAAATGTTAGCTCAGGGCCCATCTTCCTCACAAAAAAAAAAAAAAGAATAGTTACAATGAATTTAAACAAAGACTCTCAACAGCAGAGATAAGCTGTTTTCCTATTCCCCCTCCCCTCCAATGCATGTTAAACCACATCTCAACTATTCTCAAAAATCATGTTTGATAATTTATATATAATACTTTAAAAACGAGTGGGTCTGTCAAAAGCAGAAATCAAAAATCTGTGGATTATTTCTGATTTTACCAATTCAATTTGGTTCATAATTTGACAAGATGTTGATTTCAACTGCTGAATGTCAATCTTCGGAATTGCTGACAGTGGATATACTAAGGTATTCTTTATACACATACACCAGGCAATATAAACTCCCTTGTTGCCAAATTCAACAAACATTTCTCATGCTTTATCTTGTTGGTAGACTCTGACACTTAAATTCTCTCTGCCTTAACACCCCTCTTGGTCTCTGTGATGAATCTCTTGTAGCTCCTGTTCAGGTACTCTAACTGTGCTCTTCCTCCTGTATGCCCATCTTGGCACTGGAGGAACCACACTCCCATACCTCCCAAGCTAGGATCCTTGGCCTTTTCCTCTATGTCTCACTGTTCCTTACCAATTCACCCTCTCCCAT